AAACCATGATTTTACTTAGGATCAAATCATGGAAAAACAAACAAATTAAGTGTTTTACCTTCTTCGCATATATTTTCATTTCGTGGTTGGATTACACAAATAACATTGTTGCATTATCTAGGTCTAGGATCTATTTTGAAGTAACCCACATTTGTAATGTGTAACATTTACACTATAGGCCTTCATTATATCAACTACTATTCAAAACTCCATCTACTTTACCTTTTTACCTTGTTACTTTACCTGATTGTTCGACCCTGCGCAATCAATCTTGCATTTGAACACTACATGGATAGTTTACACTGTACAGCTCATGTGACGTTGTTCGTTAGGTGTTTACGGCAACCAGCGAGACCCTGCTTACTCATTCCTTCCTTATCTCAACGCTCCGTTCAAGACTCCAACAGCTGATGACACATCTGGAGCCACTAAAGTTTACCAGCAGGCCGCTAGCCTTCCAGCCACCAGCCCGTTTCGTTTTACGGTTGAGCAGCTGTTGCATTGCATTAAATCTCGAGCTTGTTAATACACTACCACTGCATCTCTGCAGGGCCTTCGCTTGCACCCCTAGGGACAACCAAGTCTGAGTAAGACTCCATGTGACAACTCTGGGAAGTGCTTACCTGTCCAGCGGTGTGCCAGGATTTAATTTCCTCCTGCCCCAGTTACATGTGTGACTCCAAACTTGAGTCAATTCTATGGACTATATACACACTTCCTAGCTCCACTCATTAACTCTACAAAGACTCATAAAGACAAAGACTCATACTCTACAAAGACTTGGTAGCATTGTTGTGCCAATTTACGTCACCTTACCATAAGTCATGCTTTTTCATTACTCTGTAATAAGAGTGTAACTACTGTCGTTACACTGTAACATCACGCAACAACCGTTATCTCCATACATGTGAGTCAGGAAACCCTGAAACCCTACACTAAAGCATATGTGTAACTAGCAACATTATCTACATGTCTAGAATGAGGTAACATAATCGACTCCTACGCGCAGTGTCAGATTAATTCAGCTCATTGGAAAGATCCGCTTTGAGATTTTGTTTTGTTAACAAAGACTCGGGTTGCTATCTTTCAATGGAGGCATATTATGTAACTTCAACATTGAAACCTCAAGGGGGGGTTCCATTTACACAGAGGTTAGTCTCCTAAAGCTCCCTTGTGTACATTAGTCAATCTCTTCCGCAATTGAGAACTACAGTAGGACTGTTTCCATACAGATCAGCCTTTCAGTTTCCATGCACACACAATATTTGTGTAACTTGGAATTGCAATGCAATACGACATAACATAGGCTATAAATATGTCAGAGGGAGGCCCAGACACACTGCACATGTCCAAAGAGCCCTCTGTAGCTCAGCTGGTAGAGCATGATGCTTAAAACGCCAGCATAGGGGGTTTGATTCCTGGTACCACCCGTACGTAAAATGTATGCACAAATAAAAGTATTCAGACCCCTCACAAAAAAGGGCAGGTATTGGTAGATGGTTAACAATAACAAATCAGATTTTTAATATATTTTTAAGCATGGTCTAGTTAATAATTATGCTGTGCATTATGTACTAAACCACCCAAACCCCTCAAAGATACAGTCATCCTTCTGAACTGAGCTGCAGGACAGGAATGAAACTGCTCAGGGATGTTATCATGAGGCCATTGGTGATTTTAAAACAGCTACAGAATTCAATGGCTGTGATGGGAGAGAACTGAGGATGGATCAACAGAGTGAAAAGAAGAACACAAATATATAAAATACAAATATTCCAAAACATGTATCTTGTATGCAACAAGGCCGTAAGTATGCAAAGCCCTATGTTTCGGGCAAATCCAACACAACAAATCACTGAGTAACTGTCTCCTTATTTTCAAGCATGGTGGTGGCTGCATCATGGTATGGGTATGCTTTACATTGGCAAATGCTGGGGAGTAAAAATAAACGGGGCTAAGCACAGGTAAAATCCTAGAGCAAACCTACTTCAGTCTGCTTTACACCAGGCACCTTTCAGCAGGACAATAACCTACAACACAAAGCCAAATCTAAACTGGAGTTGCTTACCAAGAAGACAGTGAATGTTCCTAAGAGGCCAAGTTACAGTTTTGACCTAAATCTGCTTGAAATACTATGGCAAGACTTGAAAATGGCTGTCTAGCCATGATCCCCAACATTTTGGCAGAGCTTGAAGAATGTTGAAAAGAATAATAGGCCAATATTGCACAATCCAGGTGTGTAAAACTCTTAGAGACTTACCCAAGAAGGCTCACAGCTGTAATTGCTACCAAAGGTGTTTCTAACATGAACAGTATGGACTCAGGGAGCTGAATACTTATGCAATGACTATTTTGTACTTATAATTTTTCTTCCACTTTGACATTCGAGAGTATTTTGTGTAGATTGTTGACAGAAAATGTAAATTAAATCCATTTGAATCCCACTTTGTAACTCAATGAAATCCAAGGAATCTGAATACTTTTGCAAGGCACTGTAAGTTGCTTTGGATAAAAGCATCTGCTAAATGGCATATATTATATTATATTATACTGTATAATATAAACTGTACTAGAGAAGGCCCAAAACACAAATGAACTATGTTTTTGCATCAGAGCAAAGTTTGTACCTATTATTCTCCCAAGGGAATAAAACATAAAAGGGAGAGATAACTTTGTGCAAAGTGAAGTGTTTTTACATTTTCGATCAGATCTGACCCACTCTGTAGATTCACAGAATATTCCACACATACAGTACGTAGCTTCAGTTAGACTGGTTGTACATACAGCCTCAATGGGAAAATGCACTAGACCAAATACAGTGTACACAAATTGACTTGACCGGGTCACCAAAGGTCACCTATAGCAACAGCCATCCAAATGAACACTGTATCCTTTGAATTGATGCCTGGAGATGAGGAAACCCCATGAAAATCTGAAAATGTTACACTAATTTATCCTACTCATCATATTTTTATTTATTTATTTATTTATTTTATTTCACCTTTATTTAACCAGGTAGGCCAGTTGAGAACAAGTTCTCATTTACAACTGCGACCTGGCCAAGATGAAGCAAAGCATGAGCTGAGTGTATGGTAACAACTGACACTGCAAAGACTGTCATGCACATGACATCAGAGGTCAAACACACTCATAATAATGTAAACTTATGTCATTTGACTTAACATTGCCATGTGATGTCCCAACCTCTTTTTAACCAAGCTTGATGGCAAGCAGCATCTGTAGCTGGCACAGGCTTCCTGTTTCGTTGTCATAAGCCAGGTAGTATAATGTTTTAAGTTGAAATTGAAGGCATTGATGCCATGCTGGGGAAATGGTAAACGGATGTTGAGTAACCTTTTCGATGAGTATTTGCTACACATCAACTTTTTAACATAACTAATTACAGTGTATTGATGCAGTAACAAAACACATTGAGCCAGCTAGCTGCTTTGTGAGTCTGGATGTACAGTTTCAAAAGAACAATGAATGCCAGTGGATGTATTTGTCTGACAGGTGTTGACAGGTTTTCTGGATAAAGACCCAGAGCTCTGAGTGCAAAGAGTATACAAACATTGCTTTGTACAACTCCGTTTTATATATTTCATTATTATATTAGGCAGAATGTCAGCGCCCCAAAAGCATAGATGCTGTCAACATCAAGAGTGTGTGTTTGTGTGTTTGTGTGTGTGTGTATTGGGGCTGTACAACCAAGTAGTTTCGGGTGACTAACTAAATTAATGCAATCAGCAGGGTAGTAGTGGCCTGTGCAGCACATTATTGTTTGTTTTGATACAGTTGGCCTAGTCTATTCATATTTAATGGGATTACTATTGTCAATGGAATAAGTGCATAAAGTTATCCCTTTACACATGCACATATCTTACTTTTTAGAATGTTGCATCATTGAATATAGTTAGAAATGTATGTATATCCTACTATAAAATGTGGGTGTAGTATGGAAGTACCTGACCTGATTCAAAAACATGCAGCAAGCAACTAAGTCTTTCATCAATTACTTTGGAACATCTCCAAATGGTTCCAGAGTGCCTCACATAATGTGTATGGTGTGTGTGTGTGTGTGTGTGTGTGTGTGTGTGTGTGTGTGTGTGTGTGTGTGTGTGTGTGTGTGTGTGTGTGTGTGTGTGTGTCATGCTCACATACAGAAAACCACATCACAAAAATGTGTATCTGTGAATGGTGATTGTATTTAAAAGGTGAACATACCTTGGAAAACAACAGCCTGCTGGAGATCTTGGTGCTTTCTGGGATGACCAACAGACCTTCCTTTCTCATATTAGAGAAATGTGCAATAGGTCCAGCGAACAAGAGATTAAGTTCACAAACCCAAAGTTTCCACAATGACAGTCATTTTTTTCCCATATAGGTTTCCGTCAACGTCCATGTAAAGGGATATTGTCAGTTAGTTTGAGGTGGTTTTAAAGGGACGGGGTTAGATCTCCGTGCAGGACCTCCCGTGACAGCCAGTGTGGAGCAATTTCTAATGTCAGTCTGCACAGTCGCTAGTGTAATTCCTGTGCTTCACCTCGGTGGTCGGTCAATACAAGGCTTTATTTTGGCCTAAGCGTTACAAAGAATGTCGTTTGCCAAGCGTCTCACTTGTTGACCTCAGTGTACTGCCATTGCCGAGCATTTGGAAAGAAAATAGGTATCATGCTCATTTACTCAAGAATCTCACACATGATTTAGCTTTTTCAATGTTTCCGATCGATATTGAATGATTATTTTATTGTGTACACAGAGGGGTTAGACCTACACGGAAACGCCAATAAGAATTGATTATTGTTCATAATATAAATATCTCAATACTCTTTAGTCAAACGAAGGGTGTCTAGGTTGCCATATGGCCTACAGTTTCTGTCTCTCAATATAACTTCCAAGTCTATCGCTCTTGAAAGTCAGCGACTCAAACAAGCTTTTACAATAGTGCAAACTAGGCCTACTGTAAACGTTTACTTTATCGCATAACAGCAAAACAATATCTATATCTCCCCTTCCATTATTGACAAATGAAACTCATAAAGTGCGTATGCATTAGCATGTCTCTTCAATATTTTCGATTTCATTTGTAGGTTTACGAGGCCCAGATAGGTAGCCTATATCTGATATCATCGGTCATAATAGTTACAAAGCTTTTGATTTGGGTCGTCTAATTTTCCGATGCTTATATTCCTCTAAGCAGTCCACATGGCAAAATAAAACACCATATTTGAGCTTCCCAAGATCTAGCTAAATATAAAGTATGTGTGTGCGTCTGTCTGTGTGTGTGCGTGTATGCGCGCAAGTACGCACTTGTGTGAGTCTGACCACCTATGTGTGTGTGATTTGACAGCATATCTTTCTTCACGAGAATAATCATTTTTTTGTCATCACACGTCAGTCTGTTGTGACTTTGAACTTGTACTGTTTTTCCTGCCAATGTTTGTCCCATTTCCTTTACTCGGGCTTTTGTCCACCCCACACAGCGACTCCGTTACCCCCTCTTCCATCTCCATGTACTCCGCTTTATCACCCAGCGAAGAGCCTGAGGGGGACCCTTTGAATTTTTTTAGAAAGTTGGGGAAATAGGGGCAGGCAGGTGGTGGGGTTTCAACAACCGGTGGCGAGTCTGCTTCATTATCAGTCTCCCTGTGGTAGAAGTAATTGAAGTTGGATACAATGACGGGCACTGGAAGAGCTATGGTTAACACACCCGCTATGGCACAGAGCGAGCCCACTATCTTGCCACCGACAGTTATTGGTTTCATGTCTCCATATCCGACCGTGGTCATAGTGACGACAGCCCACCAAAAAGCGTCCGGAATACTTGTGAATTGAGACGCGGGTTCGTCTGCCTCAGCGAAGTACACTGCACTTGAGAACAAAATGACACCAATAACGAGGAAGAAAATCAGAAGCGCTAGTTCCCTCATACTGGCGCGGAGGGTATGTCCGAGGATCTGCAGTCCTTTGGAGTGCCTGGAGAGTTTAAATATGCGAAAGACTCTGACAAGGCGGATTATTCTCAAAATTGCAAAACTCATTGCCTGGTCCCCTTTGCCTTGCTGTTGAGCAAGATCTGTGCCGAGCGTGATGAAATAAGGCAAAATGGATACAATGTCTATAGTATTCATAATGTTTTTAAAGAAATCAGTTTTACTTGGACTTGCAAAGAAGCGCACTATAATCTCAAATGAAAACCAAATTATGCATACCGTCTCCACAATGAAAAATGGGTCGTTAAAAGGAGTCTGTCCATGGGGTTCTGTCGAATTGTCTCGTGGTTTAAGGTATTCTTTTTCGTCCCTGAACTCTGGCAACGTTTCCATACAGAAAATGACTATTGATATAACGATGACTAAAACGGATACGACTGCAATCCCTCTCGCAGGTTGTGAGCTCTCTGGGTATTCAAAAAGAAGCCAAACTTGGCGTTTGAACTCGTCCTCTGGTAAGGGTTTCTCTTCCTCTTTGACAAAACCCTCATCCTCCCGAAACTTCAGCATTGCCTCCTCCCCGAGTTCATAGAATTTCACCTCCTCAGAGAAGATGTCAAAAGGTACATTTTGGGGTCTCTTCAATCGCCCCCCTGACTGGTAATAATAAAGAATGGCGTCGAAGCTTGGTCGGTTCCTGTCAAAAAAATATTCGTTCCTTAGAGGGTCGAAGTACCTGATTCGTTTGTCCGGGTCTCCCAAAAGAGTGTCAGGAAACTGCGTGAGAGTCTTAAGTTGAGTTTCAAACTTTAGCCCGGACACATTAATAACAACTCTTTCGCAGCACCCATACTCACTGTAAACATTTTCGTATCCTGATTGGGGACGTCTATCTGTGAGTGAGACAGTCTCTTCATCATCCATATTACAGAGAAAACTGGAACTCTTGCTTCCCCCGTCCTCCTCTTCTCCGCCTTCCGCCTCGTCCTCCTCTATCATATCCTCCTCAGATCCAAGTAGCGCCAACTCCGAGTGGCGCAAATCCCCACCGAGAGTCTGGCGACTCCTTCTCCAACGTCCTACGCCGCGTTGCTTTTTCCTTTCTCTGAGAACCTGCTGCTCAGACTCATGGTGGTGCTGCTGTGTTGCTGTTGCGAGGAGGAGGGGCGCAAGGCGGTACTGCCGCTACTGTTGTTGGCATTTGATGAGGAGGCGGTGCGAGACTGATGCTGCTGGTGGTTGTTAAGGAGATGGCCAGAGGACTCCCCTCCCTCTCCACTTGCTGCACCTTCAGCAGCGGCTGTTGCCTGCTGTACCTGTCTCTCCCTTTCGTGCTCCCTTTCTCGTGCGCGAGCATACCCGTAAGGCAGTCGAGTTTTGCACCCATTATCTGCACCTATCATGGCAAACTCCATTTTGAGGAGGGTGTAAATTCAGTTGCCAGTGAATGATATAATCCCTTTAGCGACGACTCGTGTAGGCCAATGGAAAGTAACAAGTTGTAGCAAAGGGCGCACAGGTTGGTTGATCCGGCTTTGACAGATAGCAGGCACCTGTTATTCAGTGAGGTGTAGATGAGTTAAGAATGCATAATTAAAGGTCCATTTTGGAATATAGTTCACGTTGTCTTTGACATAAAACACATTAATATATTTTTGTAAACGGATTCCTCATATATTTTATGACATCATTATTACAGCCAATTGAATATAGGCTGTGGATGTGTAGGCCTTTTATACTTTTCAAATGTATAGCCTATTAAATCACCAGATATTGGACAATATATTCACAAAACCACCTCATGTGTCCCTCAGGTGGTTAACTCCAGTGTGAGTACTTGCAGAAATACGGCATTTTTGCCTTTTCGTGGTCCCTCCTGGTTGCCATCTTAGGTGATGAGAAAACCCGGCCCTTTTATCCTGTACACCTTCAGTGATTCTGAATGACTTTATTCCTCTGACGTCTTCAGCAGCTGCAAGGGAGAAACAGCAGTTCGATTAGACAACCTACAAATGTATGTATTCAAATGCATGTCCCCTGTTTGGGCGATGCATGCACTATAGCCTACGCATCACCAACTTAAGACCAGCAAACACGACAACAAGTCTAATAATAACAAGAATTATAATGACAATATTTATAACACCAATTAGTAATTAATCATAATAATAATAACTAACATGGCAACAGGAGACAACGCATGATAACTGCAACATTAGTCTGTGTAGTTAATCATAAACATTCCTTCAATTACGCAGGAAATTGTGTTCACTCGGTAAAAAAAAATACCCCACCTTCATTCATTTAGACAATATACTTACATTTGAAAAAGGCCGAACGAAATCGTCTCAGCACCTTAGGTGAGGATGCAATTCCTTGGTTTGCCCAATTTCGCGTCTTGTTTTGGGATATTAAAATCCCTCGACGTATCCAACCGGCGAACATATCACCTATACATCTGTGTTCGATTGCACTCGAGGGATAACACTTTTTGGACGCGTCTAGACGTTGTCTTGTCTCAATTCAACAGGATCTATCTATTGAGTATCACCCCCATTCCCGAAAAAATATCCAGCGCTGCATCGGTGCTGGCAGCAAAAAAACATAAATCGCAGGTCCAGCAAGTATCAATAGCTCAGCCTGGTCAATGAAGCTGCGTCGGAGAGAGGACAAATAAAAGTTTATGTTGATATGTGAAATAGCCCACGGCTAAGTCGGCGCATCACACATCTGTCCGTTGCCTCTACCTCCCCTATTTCCCATTGTGCGTGTTATTGAGGAGTTGTGCCTCGTCCAATCGAGCATGTGCCGCAGCGCAGGCAGAGCTCGATCATCCCCCAGTGGATAGAGCGGGTCACTACGCACCTCAGCCACCACCACTTATAACACTGGGATGGTCAAATGCAATTGTTGCCACCTATCAAAGGTAACCCTCCAAAATGCCATTGATGTCATTTGACCGTCTACTATGCAACCAGATCGAAAGACACATGGGGCACAGGCATCCTGCACCTGATGAGCACCTCACCTAATAACATCTCAAAGCGAATGCAAATAAAAAAAACGAATAAAACAGACACAACAAATAAAAAAAAAATGGAAAGCAAATCTGCTTCAGATAGAAGTAGAGGCAGTTTTTGACCTGTCTTCAAAGTATTGACCTAATGGACTAGTTGCAATTAACTTAGGCCTACATTTAGAGAATTTATTCATTGAGTAGAATAGTATAGAATATATACTTTATTGTTAATTTGGTTAGAACGGAAATGTCTGCCTTTTTCCCAACACACCCAGAAACATGCTAGAGAGGCAAGGGGTCAGCCTTCTTGCAGTGTGCAAATCAGTGGAGGCTCCTCAGAGGAGGAAGGGGAGGACGATCCTCCTCAGTGAATTTCATAAAAATAAAAATGGTAAAACATTAAAAAAGTTATCATTTTTAGATAAAATGATACTAAATATAATCACGTCACCAAATAATTGATTAAAACACACTATTTTGCAAAGAACGTCTACAGTAGCCTCAACAGCACTCTGTAAGGTAGCACTATGGAGTAGCCGGAGGACAGTTAGCTTCCGTCCTCCTCTGGGTACATTGACTTCAATACAAAACCTAGGAGGCTTATGGTTCTCACCCACTTCCATAGACTTACACAGTAATTATGACAACTTCCGGATGATGTCCTCCAACCTATCAGAGCTCTTGCAGCATGAACTGACATGTTGTCCACCCAATCAAAAGATCAGAGAATGAATCTAGTACTAAAAGCATAAGCTACAGCTAGCTAGCACTGCAGTGCATAAAATGTGGTGAGTAGTTGACTCAAAGAGAGTGAAAGACAATAGTTGAACAGTTTTGAACAAATTAATTTATTCCAAAATGAAGGATAAGCAAGAGAGAAATATACAGTACCAGTCAAAAGTTTGGACACACCTACTCAGTCAAGGGTTTTTCTTTATTTTTAATATTTTTTACATTGTAGAATAACAGTGAAGACATCAAAACTATGAAATAACACATATGGAATCATGTAGTAACCAAAAAAGTGTTAAACAAATCAGAATATATTTTAGATTTTAGATTCTTCAAAGTAGCCACCCTTTGCCTTGATGACAGCTTTGCACACTCTTGGCATTCTCTCAACCAGCTTCATGAGGAATGCTTTTCCAACAGTGTTGAAGAGTTCCCACATATGCTGAGCACTTGTTGGCTGCTTTTCCTTCACTCTGCGGTCAAACTGCGGTCATCCCAAACCATCTCAATTGGGTTGAGGTCGGGTGATTGTGGATGCCAGGTCATCTGATGCAGCACTCCATCAATCTCCTTCTTGGTCAAATAGCCCTTACCCAGCCTGGAGGTGTGTTTGGGGTCATTGTCCTGTTGAAAAACAAATGATAGTCCCACTAAGCGCAAACCAGATGGGATGGCGTATCGCTGCAGAATGCTGTGGTAGCCATGCTGGTTAAGTGTGCCTTGAATTCTAAATAAATCACTGAGAGTGTCACCAGCAAAGCAACCCCACACCATCACACCTCCTCCTCCATGCTTCACGGTGGGAACCACACATGCGGAGATCATCCGTTCACCTACTCTTCGTCTCACAAAGACATGGCGGTTGGAACCAAAAATGATGACTCATCAGACCAAAGGACAGATTTCCACCAGTCTAATGTCCATTGCTCGTGTTTCTTGGCCCAAGCAAGTCACTTCTTCTTATTGGTGTCATTTAGGAGTGGTTTCTTTGCAGCAATTCGACCATGAAGGCCTGATTCACGCAGTCTCCTCTGAACAGTTGATGTTGAGATGTGTCTCTGACTTGAACTCTGTGAAGCATTTATTTGGGCTGCAATCTGAGGTGCAGTTAACTCTAATGAATTTATCCTCTGCAGCAGAGTTAACTCTGGGTCTTCCTTTCCTGTGGCGGTCCTCATGAGAGCCACTTTCATCATAGAGCTTGATGGTTTTTGCGTCTGCACTTGAAGAAACGTTCAAAGTTCTTGAAATGTTCTGTATTGACTGACCTTCATGTCTTAAATTAATGATGGACTGTCGTTTCTCTTTGCTTATTTGAGCTGTTCTTGCCATAATATGGACTTGGTCTTTTACCAAATAGGGCTATACATTTTACATTTACATTTTAGTCATTTAGCAGACGCTCTTATCCAGAGCGACTTACAGTTAGTGCTACTGTATACCACCCCTACCATGTCACAACACAACTGATTTGCTCAAATGCATTAAGAAATAAAGAAATTCCACAAATTAACTTTTAACATGGCACACCTGTTAATTGAAATGCATTCCAGGTGACTACCTCATGAAGCTGGCTGAGAGAATGACAAGAGTGTGCAAAGCTGTCATCAAGGCAAAGGGTGGCTACTTTGAAGAATCTCCCATATAAAATATATTTTGATTTGTTTAACACTTTTTTGGTTACTACATGATTCCATATTTCCATATGTGTTATTTCATAGTTTTGTCTTCACTATTTTCTACAATGTAGAAAATAGTAAAAATAAAGAAAAACCCTGGAATGAGTAGGTGTGTCCAAACTTTTAACTGGTACTGTATATAGAGATAGATTGTAATTTTTTTCACTTTCAGTTTCACTTACTTAGCTAGCAAATGCAGCTAGCTAGTTTAGCCTACCGAAACACCTTGCTCAAACAGAGGGATGCTATGTTAGCTAGCTGGCTATGACTATCCAACACAACACTGGAGCTCTTCCAAGTCAAGTTAAGCTTTTGTTTTTACTAATTTATTGCCACCAGGGCCCACCGGTGTAACTGCTTACTGACTGTACACAGTAACGTTACTGCATGATTGTAGCGGGCTTACTAACGCGTTAGTTCTATTAGCTATGCTGACTATGACGTTACTTTAGCTAATATGGTGACAACGATGTAGACTGTGTGTAGCGGTTTGGCTTGGAAAGTTTTTTCGCCTGGTCACATACAGCTGATGTGTTGTGCATTGAAGTGAAGAGGTGAGAGGAGGAGAGCGCATGGATGCGAGAAGGAATACATTGTGGCTGTGTGTTTACGCGTGATCAGGGGTGTATTCATTCTGCCGATTCTGTTGAAAAACGTATCTTAAACGGAATCAAACGGAACAAAACGGGGATAAACATACTTGAATTTGTCCAATAGAAATGCTCGTTTGCAACTGTTGGACTAATGATTACATCCTATATCAGCTAGATGCAGGCAAGAGTGTGCAAGGCGATATTGAATGTCACTGTCTGTCCATGTGTCACTGTCTGTCATCTCAAATCTGTCTCTCGACCTGTGTGCACCTACGTTGTAAACTTTCATTCATAGGCTAGGTTGTAGCAACCTCAAGATGGGTATAGGGAAAATGTGAGTATCATGTAGTAGCCTAAACCTATCGCTGTTACATTGAACTGGATGAACGGAA